TGCCTGGCCTTGACTTTAAAAGGGAAATTGCATCAATTGTGCACATACAAGTCAGATAGCTGTTCTTCTGTAGCCACTTTCCAAGTCTGAGGAAAAAAAGAAGAAAACTCAACTTGATGTCATCAGGATTATCTTGGCTGGGGCTTGGAGACATACACGAGGGCAAAAAGATGCTCTTGCTCTTGGCTGCCACAACAAGTATCCAGCATTTTGAGGCTATCAGGAGGAGACCGCTCCTTGAACATTTCTCCTGAGCGGCCAACGTTCGACATCAGTCACTTTCTACTCTGTTGTGGGAGTCACAACATCAAGTTGAAGTAATCTTGATTATGTCATACCTCGTTAGTGTCAGCCCAGCCCGGGACCAGACCGTCGCCACGCTTTCTTTTTCCTTTCTCAGGCTGCCGTGAAATATATCCAGACTCCGCTGCAGCTGTAAATATTCAGCTCTGCTGTGCTGAACCAGGAAACTGACTGGAACCCTACATGTATGCTAAATGCAGAAATAGCTTTCAATGTATAAAATACTCGATATAGTGAGAAGGAAAAGGAGGATTTTAAGGATGTTAACATAGATTTTTGTTAAAGACAGAACTGCACAGCCTTATAAAAAAAACTTTTATTGATTTGTGAAATTAGCTTTTATTCTCAATCCAGAAAACTCAATTTCTAAATGAAAAAAGACCCCAGTCCGTCCAAATGTCTGCTCTGCTCGCTTTGACAAGTATATTTAATTTCTGCAGTTTTTCACTACAGGTTCTACCTGTTTGTTTATGTGCCATTTGGGGCTCACAGAATGTTTTTTTAATTATTATTTAGACATAGAAATGTCTTCTTCAAATTAAAAAGCTGTTCATATGAAAAAAAACCTCTAAAAACACCAACAATCTTTTGCACCTCAACACAGATGGTTCCGTAGGCGTTAACATACACGAGCGCATCCTGAAAATAGGACTAATTCATGTATGAGTTTAAAGCATCGATACGGTCGGCGAGGCGAGCACGGAGGCGGAGAAAGGCACTTATGTAATGAACTACCTCCTCTCTGCTTTTTCGCCTCGGAGACGAATCAGGCAGCTGAGTGAAAGAAGGGGATATTAAAAAACGCACTGTCTAATGTATTCATAAGATATTCTAATGCAACGCACGGTGGAGACGGGCTTCTGGATCAGTTAGCGTTAAAGGAGGTGCTTTTCAGGGTCACTAACACATTTTCTAATATTGCAAAATGAATGCACAAATGCATTATCCAAACAGTCTCTTTAAGACCTGCATAACAATTATACAGTGGCTGGCCTGATGTCAAATCAGTCATTAATGGCTGTCACACGGTGCAGGCAGAGACAGCCAGAGAATTAGGTTCTTTGAGAGTGAACCCACCACTCGGGTCTTCGTTGGCGGCCCCTGAAAAATGGAGAACGACTGCTTCTCCGTTCTGAAAATCTCCTTTGTGGAATGAGCCCCCTTTTTAGCCTGTGGAACAGCACGTCTGCTAATACTGTTCACTGATCTCATGATCTCTGTGGAAACGCAGGGCCCCGGCTGCCTGTCACCCATGGAGGGGTAAGGGAGGGAAGGAGGGGGCAGGCGCTGGGCTGAGCCACTGCTTCTACAGCTGCAGGCCAAAGGGGGGTAAATGGGGCAGCTCTGGTGCCTGAGCCTGCGTCACACTCTTCAGAGAGGAAGCTCTGTGGGAAAGTAGCTCATCTCTGGCAATAACACTGCTGCCACTTGAATCAGTGAAGGGTGCTGCCGAATGAAATTGGAAAGAAAAAATTAATTTATTAAAGTGAAGTGTACTAATATCTCAAATTTCTCAGGATATATATCTCATGGATCGTTAGTTTGAGACAGTACCAACTTGCTTTTGGGGTCTAGCATTTTTGGAACTTGTCCTGTAGAAGGGAATGAAAGTGAGGTGATCTCAGGGTAATCAAAATGCCACAACTTCTCCACGGGTCCACACACTAAAGCATCATGGGAAGTGTAGAAACCAGTGTCTTTGAAGCCTGTCCTATGTAAAGGACTAAAAGTACGGATTTCACTGCCTCTGCTGCATGACATTTCATTGAGTCTCTTGTGAGTCCTCCAAGTTTATGGGAAGTTCAATACTAAATAGCTAGAGTGTGCCCCTTTCACTTCATAGCGATGTAATAACATCAGAGGGAATCATTTGTGTCCACAGATTAAGATGTTAGATTAAAATGAATTTTGAAAACAGTTAAAGGCAGTTGGAGGGAGAAAAAAAAAAACTACAACAGTAACAAGTCCACAGTGTGTTTTATCCATAGTAAGAAAAATGGAAAAGCTGGATTTGGATTTCATCATCAATCAAAAACAGCATGTGGGTCATTTTCTTTCCATCTAATTGATCTGAGGAAGAAAAGTGAAAGAAGTTCCTAAACACTGGGGGAAGAAGCAGCATTGTATATCAATGAGTCCAAGACTTCTGAACAGGGTAAATATATACCCTGAGCTAGTGTCTCTTTATGCACATGCAGGGTAGAAAAATACATCCGCAGGGCATGAAAGCAAATGTCAGATTAAAGCAGTAAACACAGACAAGAAGCAACATTTAGTGCCTATATACCCGAACCAGAATTAGATGCTGGAAGAGAAAGGTCCGTATTTCAAGGGCATGGTCTGGATGGGGGAAGAGAAAGCAGCCAAATTGGATGGAGTTAAGCTGCAATAACTGCTTGTTATGACTCTGGAGAGAAAACTCAATCGTCCCTTTGACCGGCCGCTGAGAAAGGAAACATTGTGTCTGTGTTTTGGGTGGATCACAGGGGGACATGTCACAACAGCACGTTTTTGACAAGGTCTCGGGGTTGTCCGCTCTCGTGCGCTTCACTGTCAGGAATGCTGATGAGGCTTAATGAGGTTTTAATCCAGCCGGAGTTATTAGTGGCAGGCCATCTTAAAACAACCAGGGGTCAGGCCGCGTGAAGGTCCACTCCCGGTGGATCACTGAGCGTGACGCTTCCGCGCGTCAGCAGGTTGTGCTCGTCCAGGGAAAAGCACTTCTGTCTCCTGTTGGTTGTTGTTCAGTAACAACACAATTATAGGATATCGCTGTCATGTGACCAGTGGTACAATTTCAGGTTTCGGAACATGGCACTCTGCCAAATGGTGCGTCAGTGGTTCCAAGTAAGCTGGATGTTCCACCTCATCATTTGTAAGTTGCTCAAGATGAGATAATGAACTGAAGTCATGTGATTACTGTCATTTAAGGATCCAGAGCTTCTTTGGTGCGAAGTCTTCATTAATAATCTTCTCTTTTCGTGTGAAAGCACTTCTGCTGATTCGTGACATGAAGTGGTTTCTACCTTGGAGTTCAAGTCGTTCCCGGGACAGCTTTCCAAACTTGCTAAGACATGTTAATTAATACGTTTAGCCCCCCGAGCGGCATGAGTCATCACGTTTTCACAGTGTGTTTACAGAAAAGATTTTGGGCTGTTTCGAGTGCAGATCTGCAGTAAGCATATCTTTTGAAAGCATAGTCTCCTCAGGGTGAGGTTTACTAATCCAAAAAGCTTGGCATCTTTTTCCTCACTGGGATCCTTAAGAATAGTGCTGTACAAGTGATGCTGATTATAATTAAGATAATGATGGTAATGATGTGAGGGTAATGGAATTTGTTCTTGAAGCAGCAAGCACAGCTGCGAAACAGTGATGCAGGGGCCAGATGCACCAACTGGTTTTGGGTCCTAAAAGTCTTTGTTTAGACTAGTTCATAGAAATGACATATTAAACCTTAAAGGGGAATTCTGGTGTTTTTCGACTTCCCTGTCCCCATGTTTATAAATGTGGCTGTGTTGATACGTACATAGACTTTCGCAATCGCTCTAATAGATCGTCTCTGCTGGCTGCAACAGCACGACAGCAGTGGCTACAATGCAATCTTATGGGGCAACTGTGACAGTCCACAAAATGTCAACTAAAAATTACCTTTATTCTGGAAAATACTTACAAACTATTTGGCTCTCTGTCTTCTGATTTGCTACTGCAATTGTGGATTTAGTAGTAGTTGTGAGAGCAATCGATTTTGTAATATTAATAGCGGCAAGCTTAGGAAGAGCATCAGTAGTAGCCGTGTTATTACCTCTGCCAAAGAGGTAACAATTAGGCTTTGGGTTTGTTCGTTAGCAGGATTACACAAAAGTGCTCATATCCAGCTGTTTTATTGTCTTTCTCTGAGTTTTTCAAACATTTTCATTGATTTCACAGAGAGTAATTTATGGGTCTTGGAATAAAATCAAGCATATTTAGGGAACTGATATTTATGAGTGTGTGCAATTTGGTGCAGATCCAATATCCGAGTGCCATTCTAGTAATGATTCAGAATGAAATCAGGAGTGTTGTCTCAGTAGCTGGCGCTGCAGCTGTGCTAGTACAATAGTTCTAACAGGTGTTTTTGCAGCAGTAGCAGCAGCTGCACTAGTTGTTGCAGCAGTAACATTAGGATTAGATAAAATAAAGGACATTACATGACACAAATGTGGGTTTGAGCATTGTTATTAAGATCAGGACAATCATTTGCCTTTACAGCTAAAACATATAACTTTGTATCTGAGCTGTTTGGCAAATCTAAATGTGATAGCACTTAATCTGGCAGCCAGACTAAAGTGAGTCATTCAAAGAGCCTTAGATAATTGGTGTGCATAAGACTGGTGTCACTGGGTTACAGGTACACCCCTCTCCCTCTAACAGGTTTTTTGAATAGCTCTGTCATCAGGGAGAGTAAGTGTCTGCTTGTTCCACTGGAAATGTTGGAATTAATTGAACTGAATTGTCATTCATAATCCACATGTTGCAGTTTTCCACGGCCTAGGGTAACGCTATCTTCCGCTGTGTGCACTGTAATTGAAATTTCAATCATGGGGGGCAAACCTTTAGAAGCATCCCATGAATATTCATGCGCTCGTGAGTGTCTCCGAGCGTTTGTGGCTGCTAAGAGGCTTTGCACTTCGCTCACTGACATGTTCTTGTCTAAACAGCTCCGTCCCAGGTCAGCGAGGTCATCAAGGAGAAAGTGCAGCAGCGCAGCATCCAGCTCTCCTGGCAGGAGCCGCAGCAGCCCAACGGCGTCATCACGGAATATGAGATCAAATACTATGAAAAGGTGAGTGTGCAGGAGATTTGTCTGTGCCTTTGTTTCTTTCTGAAACCTTTTCCCTTCCATCTCTCGCTTCACACACACTTCTGCAAACTCTTGATTTTGTATTCTGTCTGCATGCTGCTGTGAGTGGAATTCACAAGATTCTGCAAGTACCGTATTCGTCTCATAATTGCAATAATGAATGAGATGCTCATAAGATTTTAATCAGGCTATAGTCCTTCGCAGCCATCCCCTCGCACAGGTTAGCACACACACACAATCCGTGGCTGCTGCACTGCCAGAATTAGCAATCTGTCACTGTTATCACCTCTCCCCTCCCACATAGATTATACCACTGCTTCCCTGTGTTTCAAGTTTGAACACATCAGCTCTTTACAGCAAGGTTTAATGGAGCGAATTTAACCCAGCAAATCAAAAGCAGGGCGATGCCAGTCTTCCTGGCCACAGCCTCTCGCACACACTGACAAATCAGTCTCCTGTGTCACACACTGTGGCTGTGGTCCGCCCAGCTGTAAAAGTGGAAAATTGGAAACAACGACTACACCCCTAACAGACCCTGGCATTCCATTTGGGCTCTGAGCCGAGCAAAGCATTTACAGTTCAACAACAAAGTACACAATGCATGTGGCCTGAGCATCCAAATGGATTCCTTTATGGAGACGATTTTTTCCTGCGTGCTTATGTTCTTTATGTGGCAGGGCATCTAATGGTGAGACAGATAGTTTGGGTAACATCAGAGGTTTTCTGCAATCTACAGTCTGTATCAAGCATAATAAAAGAAAAAGAAAATACAAATGTAATTTCATGCATATTTATAATTGATAAATCTTGAATCTTGAAATCGAAGTATAGATTATAGCTATTTTCAGCACAATGTGTATTTCCACAGTTATTATTCTGTAACAGAGGTACTGGTTTCCTTTTGGCTAATCAATTCCAACTGATTCAACTATGCTGTTTTTAGTTTAATCTGTAGTCAATACACCTTTCTTCCTAAAGTCAACCAAGAAAAGGCACAACTTAAATACCCACTGGAATTGTTTTGATATTGAACATCAATGCACGAAGCCTTACGTCGCACTGATGGTTGCTTTAACAGCAATTTAAAAGAACCAGCAAAGTAGGAGCAACTTGAATTAACTAGTGAATGAAAACAGTAACTCCGTGTGGCAGTGTGCACGACATGACTCTCCTGTCGTGCAGGTGAAATTAGTGCTGTAGAAATACGTGTAGATATACTGCATGTTATGCTTTATTCATCACAACAAGTAAACACAGGGGAAGCGTTCAGGGTGCATCCACAGCAAATTACAGCAGGAGCTGAGCAGGAAACATGGATGCATCTCACTAAAGTTTGAATAATTCTGGTAAAACAGGGAACATTTGGAAGAAAGGCCCGTCTCCTATTAAATCCTGTCTGCAGCTGCCTTAGATAAAGTATTAATAAGCTTTGCACTATTTTAGATGATACAGTATACAGACTGAATGTTATAATGTATGTATTTTCATCTGAACTTGCGGTTCTGTGTATCTAGTTGGGTGAAATACTGTTAAGCCACACACATTCCACTTACAAAGTGCAGGTAATTACATCCTCTGAAGTCTATCTGCTGTATTTTTGAAAGCAACAAGATAAAAACACTTCAATAAGACTCAATTATTAGCTGGACGTTCACAGCATTTTGGAATAAAACGATGATTTATTCTCTTCACAGGATCAGAAGGATAAGATTTACTCCACAGTGAGGTCCAAGTCCACGTCGGCCACCGTGAACAACCTGAAGCCCAGCACGGCCTATGTGTTCCAGATCCGGGCCTTCACTCAGGCGGGTTACGGGACCTTCGGCCCCAGACTGGAGATAACCACCAAGGAGGAGGCCACAGGTAGGGGACTACACAGAGGCTCAATATGCAGGAACACACACTTCTTCCTTTGCTGCTGCCGCCACAGTTTTGCGTTATATGCTTCATGAGACAAATATGTTCAAATATGAGCAGATGTAAACAGCATCCAGCATCTGTGTTATGATGTTCAGTCCAGATCCAGATGTTGCGCCTGGTTTTGTCCACAATAACGTTCCATTAGGTTTAGCAGAAGATAAAAAGACTGATTTTCATCTCAGGATCCGGGATGATCCAGCTGCAAAATCGGAGAGACATAGTTTAGACGCAGGAAGCAGTGTAGCATTGTCCTGCTTTAAAGTCCCTTAATGTATCGTATGTTTCATCGACAGCTTCGCTGCTGAGTACTCGTTGCTGGAAAAGAGATCAATGTGTTTCTTTTTCCACTCTCACCAGTCAAAATCAATTTAATGTCATTCTCAGTCTGGCCATCTTTTTTATTGATTTTCTGTCAGGTGTGTTTCATTCATTTCACATGGCTGCAAAATAAACTAATGTCTGCATATGTGATCCAACCAAATGTTAGGAAGATGATCTGCTCGTGTTATGATGTAGTAAAATGGTGAGAATTAGCTGTGAGAACTGATGCGTCATTGTAATGCGTTTCACCTCGTCCCACTTTCCTCTGCGAGTTTGCACCTTGACCGCAGCAGTATATCAGCACATCACTCTGGAAAACACACTGTTAATGTCTCCACTTATTACAGTAACAGCCCAGGGAAATTATTTTCTCTGAAGCAAAGGAAACACAAATTGCTTTGACTTTATGCTGAGAAGACGTCATGGGAAAAATCTCAAAACATAAGGACAAGCTGCTGTAGCGTCGTGAGGATAAACTCATTTAAAACCAATCAGTTACATTAGCTCTACCCGGAGTGTCTCAGTGTGATACTGTGAGGCACACTAGCCTTTTCTATATTCATATAGATACTGTAAACACGGACACACAAGAGTTATGACTGTCAAAGTTCAGACTTCAGTAAAGGAGGTGCTATTCCTCCCTTTATTAAATGTTTTGGTAATAACATGACATGTGTTAAGATGAGAAGACCGACACACACTCACTTTGTGTGTTGTAATCAGGACATGGCAGCCATAGCATGAGAGAAGTTAGTGTGATATATATGTTCAATAATTTAGTATGGCCATGGAACGATGTTATGAAAAATTAAATTGGCCCATGATAGGAAAAAGGTTCGTCACCCTTGCTATAGGGTAAACTCTTCAGTGGAAATTATAGAGGAAGTAGGAAACGAGTGAACAAGGGAATGATTCACAGCCCAAGACTCTGGGGTGTTGTGTCACTGTGGTCAGCTGTTGGTTGGAAAGAAAGAGTTCCTGATTGCAACTCCTTCCAAAACCACAAAATGTTCATGTGGGGGGGTCAAAGACATTGCTCATACAGTGTTAATTTCTGAGATAAAGAGGCTGTATATGTTGTTCGCTCAGCACAGACCCAGGCTGCTTATAATACTTAGTAAATGTTAGTAAGTTGTCTGCAGTCACAAATGTTAAGGATTCATTAATACAGAGTTTGTTATAAATGTAATTGAGTGGGTAGTGAATAGGTTTTGCTCCCCTATTAGTCACCTCTTTAATCCGTTTTTCTTTAGTGTAGAGGCCCACTATTCAACCTGCCGACCATACTGCTCCCCCCACCCACCTCCCAGCCAACAGTTCTGCACAAAAGGACACATTAATTACTCATACCACACGCAGAGTGTGCCCTGTAACAAGGTTAGAAGTTTGCAATCTAGTCAAAGTGTCCTTGACCAGCACGGGCAACCAGCAGTCTCCTCCGTGACAGCCTCAAGAGTGAAACCTGCTCGTGTGTGCTATGACAGTTGAGTCCTCGCACTTCCTCCCAAAATAGACAGTTGGTGAAACACTGAAGGTTGATTGAGTAACAGCTGATCAAATGTCACCAGGTTTTTCATCCCCACTCCTCAGACAGACAACAAAAAAAAAAATCATTATCTTCCCAAGTATTTCCTTCGCCTCAGATCCACTCGATTTAAAATGCATGAATTTTCCCCCACATAGTCCGCTTGCGTTGACTTTATACGTCGAGCCGTTCCTCTGAGCAATCGGCAGCGTGTCAATGCAAACAATCTGAGCACTATGAGAGCTCTGAATGGGAAACAATCCAACCTCAATGTGTCTTTGTTTGAGATGAAGGGCATCGCCGTTGCCGTCTGGGACTATTAAGCCCACTTTCTGAAACAGTAGAGCCGTGTGTATAAGGACGGCTCAAAAATAGAAGCGTCCCTCCTCCACTCTTCGAGGGAAGGCGGGGGTGGGGGGGGGTTATCAATCTCCATGCTGCTCATTGAGCTCAGTTATGCCCTGTAGATTGTGCTCTTTGATGTGCTGAAGTTCACACTGTGCATTTCTGTCTTTCTGCATGTCTGTCCGTGTGTGTGTGTGTGTTTGTGTGTGTCCGTGTCATCAGCTGCGATTGTCTCCAGCGAGCAGAACCCCGTCATCATCATAGCAGTGGTGGCCGTGGCGGGAACCATCATCCTGGTGTTCATGGTGTTCGGCTTCATCATCGGGAGAAGGTACGCTCTCGCGGGCCCCATTGACTCTCCGCTCCTGTGAGTCTGCGCTTGTCAATTAGCCTTTCTGTCACTCACAGGCCTCCACGTCTGTGGAGTCGTCACGTGCACACACACACATGCACACACGTGCACCCATCATCTCGTGGCATGCTGTGCTAATGGGTTGTGATGCATCTTTCTTTTTTTTTTTCCCCCTCCAGCCCCAACCAAATTTTTAAAGCTGTTTTTTGCAGAGCCATTATGAGGCAAGGAGTCCTGTGTGACTGTGAGAACCTGAGGGCACTGATCACAAAGCACCCTGCCCATTGTCATTATCACCATTCCCTCTCATCTGTGTTTTCATCTGCACGAATGGCATTTCATCAGAGCTTGTTTTAATGGTGGACTCCTCCAGAGTCCTCAAATGCCTCCATTTGGGACATTTTGTGTCAAATAATTGTCTGTCTCCTTCTCAGAATCATGACTCAGTCAAAACAGCTACGCAGATGTTGTACACATCCCTCTGAATCAGTATTAGCACTATCTCTAATGGAAAAGATCCATAAATCTGTGTAGAGATGATGTAAGAACAGAAGATAAACTGTAGCTTGAAGCAGATAATGCCAACCACTTCTCCCAAAAGTACAATACCAGTCAATCACATCTTAATTTAAGCTGTGTTAAGCCATATAAATCGAGACTTTCCAAAGTAACGTTATCTAAATGTAATATTTTCTCTAAATTGGGCTCCTGCTTGGCATACAAAGCAAAGCATACATCCCAACATGATCTGTAAATTCCCATCTGCCTGTAGTGGAGATGTTTAACCTTGAATGTCAAAGTTGACGTCTCATTGTGACCGTGCCTCGCAGGTTGTGCTAACTTTGCCACCTCTGATGTCATGGTTTAGGGAAACAATGGCTCGGACCAACTTGCATATATAGGTGCCGTCGGCATGAGCCTTTTAAACTTTTTATCTGGTAAATTTGGGTACTTCTTTTGGTAATTTGTCTTTTATCTCAAATCATTTTAATTAGTACTTATTTCCTGATTTTGAACAAATGATCATAGACTGTAGCTGCTCCGAATCGGCCATTATGCTAACGGTTCTACATCTGGGGCTGACCTAACCTGATCCACACACAGTAATTTGGTTACTGTGTAGGTTACAAGTTATACTGTCCTTGAAGGGAACTGAGGAACACTTCTGCAGAAAAAGCTAAATGCATTGGTGGATTTAGCCGTTGACGAGTAAGGGGATGAGTCATTTCACAGCGATGGCTCATCGTGTTTTTATGAAAAGTAGAAAAACAGATGAGGGGATAAACCAAACGGTACTGAGAGACAACATGCCTCAAGAAGCTGCTTGTGTTCCTGCGGTTGCTGTTCTCCACAGTCGACTGAGGAGGAGAAGTGTTGCTGCAGAGTGAGAAATGTTGTTGACTGTAACTCCAGCTGCGAGTCCACAAGAAATGCTTTTGCAGTGCTCACCAACATTGTCGTCGCTAACACTTTTATTTCATCTCCTGAAAATCGACTGAAGCCTTCTGAAGAAAAAGCTCAGCCCTCCATAGTCTGAAAATTATAACAAATACAACACGTAAAGCGCTGTAACACCAGCAACGAACACTAGCATCTGGTTATATTCCTTGGATAATTAGCCCCAGTTAAAAAAGATAAATCCCAAAGTAAAAAGAATGCGACAGCTCAGAGCGGTGTTAAAGGGTGATTAGCTCGACCAGCAAACCAGATCTATGAGGATCCATATGAGTTTGAGCTTGATGACCGAACCCAGCAGCTACAGTCTGTGATTACTTCTGGTCACGAGTGTTTGAAATGAATCAGGTTAATTTGGAAAGCTGTAGGAGGCTCGCTCGATTACCCACAAGTCCTTGTTTCCCCCGAATTTCTACAACTGAGGTGGCAAATGCAAAGTTACCACTTGTATGGAAAACACACCATGATTAGCTTTCAGGGCATCAACTTTCAGATCGTAGATTCTGTAGTTATTTTATATGACAAACAAAAACAACAGGGGAGACAAATTAGCTTTTTTGTTTGTCCTACATTGTCTTTTTTTACCTCATGAGACAAAAGACAAGACACTGTAAAAACAAAGAGGACAAGAACAGTGTATACAGGACAGTCAACAGAATGTAATAGTGTTATAGCATTATTATTATTATCATCACCATTTGGTGGGGAGAATAAGGAGGGAATTTCAAGAAAATATATTATGATACTGATAATTTATACTAATAACTGCAACAATCTTAATCATCCATTGTGATATTAGAATAAGAAAAAGAGAATAAAATGTGTATTATTAATAATTCTTGTCATGTCGCCACTTATAGTATTTATAAAAACAGTGAATAATAACCAATCCTATCATTAATTACAATCTTTGCATTCACAGGACACATGTAGTCAGATCTCTAAATAATTTTATAATTCAAAAAAAAAAAATACATTAATGTTAGTTGATATTTCTTAGTAGTCCTACCTATTCTGAATAAAACACGGTCTGGTAAAATCATCTTAACACACTTCCTGTTAAAGGAAGAGTAAAAGAATAGCCAGACGAGCCTCGTGAATGCATGTAGTCACAGTGGCTGTACGTGCAGGCTTTAAAAACAGGATGGGGCTGTAAGAGTTAAAGAATGCAGCATGAACACATGCTTTTTTCTTCTTTTTTTCCTCCACAGTAAGTGCATATCCATCACGTGTGTCTTGCCACCTGCTCGAGGGAACCTTCAACACATTGATATTATAAATTCATATTAAAAGACATGTTGAACAGTCCTTTGCAGTTGATATGTTGCATGATGAGATACTCGAGCTACTTTCCCAGGCTGCGGCTGCTGGGTTCACAGCCTCTTGCTGCTCAGCTGGGTGTCTTAAGAGATTTGTCATGCACAGCGTTAGTTGCCACATTAAAATTCTTGTAATTTAGGGTGTTTATTTCTCCCGCACCAATCAGTTGATTTTTGCTCCTCTCTTCCTCTCCCCCCCCCCTCCATGCAGGCACTGCGGGTACAGCAAAGCGGATCAGGAGGGAGATGAAGAGCTCTACTTCCAGTGTGAGTGCCTGCATTCATCAGCCCAAACACACACACACACACAGGCACACACACACACACACGGTATGTCTATGTATAAGAATGTGTACGCACACACAGAGACAGGAAGGGTGCCTTTAAACCCATTAGCACCCACAGGCATGACTGTTTTATCCCAGTTCATTTGAATTGAGTCGAAGCCGGGAACAATCCGGCTGACGTCTGCTGCTGATTGGCTGGATTCAGTGTGAAGAGATGAAGAGGTCAGGAAACTACAAAGACCTGAATGTGACAGCCGTCAGGGAGGCAGTAAAGGTCTGACCCATGAGGAAGGAGTGTTCTCTAAAAAATGTAAAAGCCACAACTTGGATGGTTTTAGCGAGTGACAGAGTTTATGGTGTACACTGCTCCTAGGCAGCTTCTATCAGTAAGAGAGTTTTTTTTAAACACTCACACACCACCCCTAATGATGCCCCTGGAGAGACAGCTTCCCCGAGTGGAGCCGTAATGATCCACGCTGTAGGCAAACTGCTGATTTGGAAACAAAGGGTCAGGGGTGTCACGAAGCGTACAGCTCGAGCAGAGGCAGCGCTGGCGAGCCCAGGTTGGCTGCTGCTAAGTGTCTGACAGAGCCACCTCAGCGGCTCACCACAGGCCTCATCTGCTGAGGAAAGAGAGAGAGACAGGAAAAGAAAACGGAGAAAACACAAACAAGATGTGTGTCGAGCTTAATGGAGGGATCTGCCATGCAATATCGAATGAGGGGACGCCGCCAGGGCGACAGAGGCTAGATAGCGCACACATTCAACACATAGACCCAATTTGTCGTTCATGTAGCGGCGGGGAAGTCGTGATAAGACGTCTCCTATCAGATCTGCTGACATCTGGAATGGACAAAGCAATTATGGGAGCAAGTGGAGTGAAATCTCCCCTCGCTGCAGCGCGATACATTTGCTCGATTTACGCCGTTGGTTCGGCCACCGTCACGTCTCTCCTACATACAGAGGATCGGTTTCTTCCCAGCTCGCTCTTCAGTTGTGTTGTTCTGTCCAGTGCGCTCTGGCTGCACTCTTTTCTCTGTGCTCATTAAATTTTAAAGTTGACAGGTAATATTGTTATCAGTGAAATTTAAAACGCACAGTGTAATAGGACCCGTGGGTTGTGTGTTCAGTAAATAGTGCATAATACTGTAATTTGCTGTTAATTTGGGGAACTGTGCAAAAATGTTAACCCCCCTTAACCGTCTCTGGCCTTTATCTAACCTTGTTGGTTTTTCCTTCTTTTCTGCAAACTGCTTCCCCCTCTCACCTCATGGATATTCATGAACCAGTCCCATGTCTGTGTTGTTTGAAATTGCATGGATTTCCTTTTTAGAAAAATATCCTAAATGCTTCGCCCGAGGCATCAGTCAAGCAAGAGAATTAAAAATACAGTCCCTCATTCCCACACAAAATCTCATTTAGTTTCATTTAGTTACTTCATGAGAGATAATGCAGCATCTGTACCGAACAGACCACAGTCCTTTATTACCTTATCTGTCACCAGTGTTCAATTCCAGCGTCATTGTCGGATTATAATTACTTATTGCCATCTGTAAATCAACATACACTATAGAATAAACGATTTTATGAGGTATTTTCCAGCTGTAATATTGTCTGCAGTCAACAACCTCCACCAGTCAGAGTATTTTCCTGTTGCATCCCCATTACATCTTAGGATTTGAACTTACTGCTTGAGAGGGATCAAAACCAGTGACCAATTAATTCAGTGTTATGAAGGTGTAAAAGACCTTGAATATGGAAAAAGGCCCGAATGCACACATGAACACAAAAATCCAGCAAAATGTGATACTATAGATTCTGTACAACAGAACAGGACCCAACCAGCTCCTGTTTGACCACAGGAAATGTGGACGGGTCCTAGGGTTTGGTGGATGGGCCTACAGACAAACATCAACATTAACATAATAACTTCATAGCTTCATTTAGGGCATTTATTTATTGTATTAGCTGAACATTTGAAACCATTTTTCATCTTTTAAAGAATCTAGAGTGTCAATTTAAATAAGACAAATTCCAAAACATGATTTTATCTAAACACACGCCACTTTTGGGTTCACAAACTTCAATATAAAAGTCCACAGTAATCATCGAGCCTTAACAAACTCATAAAAAACATATAATGTTTTCAATCACATGCTTCAATTCTGAAAAGTAAAATATGTCATG